CCGGCCACTTCCTTGTGCAGATCCACCCTCCCCGTGACAAGCTCCTCATCTTCGCCAGCCCCTCCTTGTTCAACCGCCGAACTGCGATCCTGACCCTCCTCCGTGCAAGCCTGTCACCAGCCCACGGCGCGGAACGAGCGTACCTCGTCTTCCTCCGCCTGGGAGAAGAGAACGCCGCCGACATCGTGTGGCAGGGGTGCTCGATGCACGTGCGGGACTATGGCGAACCTCGGCGTATAATCTTGAAGCGCGGCAGGCTCCGGTTGGTCTGCGACGGACACGGGCACCTCGCGGAAAACTGCGCGGCTCTCGAGGATGTGCTGGGCGGGGCAGTGCGCGTGCACAACCCGCAGCGCGCGAACCTGGAGAGGATGAATCGCGCGCTCAAGCCCATCAGACGAGCGCTGTACTCTCTCGCGACCGCGTTCACGTCTGCTGCGCGCGGTATTCACGCCTCGCTGCCGTCGTGTAAGGAGAACGCGGGCGCGCTTCCGACGGACCCTTCCATCGACGATATTTACCACGACGCTGGTGCTCTTTACGCGTTCGCTTCCAAGTTCGGGACGAGTGCGGCCGAGCGCCTGGGGGTGGGATCTGGAAAGCATCGGCGGCTTTCGCACGCGCTCGCCGGGTTGGCCGCCGGGTGGGTGCGGCTGTGCGCGGCGGACATCATCTCGTTGCGGTCGCCGCGCGCGTTCCGTACAGTGGTGATGGCGCTCGAATTCGCGGCCGATGCGACGTCCGGGGACAACATCGTCGAGATGGAACATGGCGAGTTCGAGGAGTTCAAGCGAGATGTTGCCGCGTGCACTGGGTCGTTGATCGCCCAATGCCACTCGCGGTTGGGTTGGGAAGGGCTTGAGGGGGAGGTTGCGGGGACGTTCGCGAGCGAGCTTGGGGTGGATGTTCTGCTCGAGCGCGGGGGCTCCGCGGCCCCGGCACCCGCACGCTTCGACTCCCGATCAACCACCCTGCCGTCATCCACCTGCGCTCCTCCCCACTCGCCCTCCGAATCCACTCCTGTGCTTACGCTGCCATCGCACGCGGAATGCACTGCGCAACAAGCGCCTCCGCCTCGCATCTCCCCGCTGGAGCGAGCGATTGTCAAAATCCAGGAGATCGAGGCGAAGCTAGACGAGAGTAACCGCACGATGCGCATCGCGGGAAAGATTATGGACGACAACAACATGGTCGATCGGTACCTTTCTGCGATTTCGAGCTCGAGCTGCTCGTTGGCGCTGAGATGGCAGCAGGGGAAGTTCTTGGGTGGAGGAGCGTTTGGGTCGGTGAGTTTATGAGTGTGCCTGCGTGATGTGTGGGGGACTGGGGTGCGCGATTTTTTCATTGATCATTTTTTTTTCTCCCCTGATTTGAAATTTCTCAATACCCCGCAACTCTCCCGCCCCCCCCACCCCCCCCTTTCCCTTCCCCTCAGGTCTGGATCGCAATCGATCTTGACGCCGGCGACATCCTTGCCGTCAAAGAAATCCGCTACCACAACACACTCGAAAGCGTCGCGCGCGCGGTCCGCGACGAAGTCACCGTCCTCCAGCTCCTCCAGCACCCGAACATTATCACCTACTTCGGGGTCGAAGTGCGCCGCGACAGGCTGTGTATCTTCATGGAGTACTGGTAAGCTTCGACACGCCACGCCCACCGTCACCGATTTGTTCGTTCATTAACGGGCTCCAATGGCGGGAAGGTCGCTGATTTGGCTCTTCGACCGTTCCTGACCCCCCTTCCCCCTGATTTCTTCTATCCGCCCATAGCCCGCACTCGATGGATAAGCTGCTAAAGAAAGGGAGGATTACGGACGAGTTCATTGTGCAGGTCTTTGCGAAGCAGATGCTCTCAGGTCTGGAGTATCTCCACGGGAAAGGGATCGCCCACCGGTGGGTTGACGGAACGAGGGCGTCGAGGCTGGGGACGGGGGGTGGAGGCTAGATGTCACTTCGGGAGATTCGGCGTTGCTGTTCCGCTGATACATGTGTGATACCCCACCATCAGAGACGTGAAGCCGGGAAACATCCTCATCGACACCGAAGGATACATTAAGGTATGCTTAGTCTTCCCGTCTATTCATTTCTAATATCCCGGGTTTTGCGCTTTCTTGGCCTATTCAACCTTCACCTCACCTTCGCACGTCTATCATAATCCGACCCCCCCCCCCCCCCCCCTAGTTCGTTGATTTCGGCGTCTCGAAGATCTATAAGCCGCAAACGCGCGTTGCCGCGGACGCCGGCCCGCATACGCTGGTTGGAACGCCGCAGTACCTGGCGCCGGAGATCATCACCGGCGAGGAGGCTGGGCAGACCGGAGCGCAGGATATCTGGTCGCTGGGATGCGTTCTAGTAGAGATGTTGACGGGTCGTAAGCCGTGGGGGGTGATGGATAATGATTGGGCTGTGGTAGGTTTCTATGTGGGAGAGTGGGGAGGTCGTCTGAAGGAAGATGGGGGTTGGGGACCTCAGCAGTTCCGCAGAAAACCGCAACTTATTATGATCCTCCCGGATCGGCCAGATGTACCACATCGGCACGGGCGAAGGCCACCCAGCCCTCCCAACCGCCGACCTCCTCTCCCCCGTGGGCCACGACTTTCTCAAGCGATGCTTCATTCGACGGGCTCCCGATCGCCCGACGGCGTCTCAGCTCCTGCAGCACCCGTGGGTGTGCGACGTGGAGGTCTCCGGGGTCGAAGTGTCGATCAAAGACGATGCGGGCCCGCCGTTTCCGCCTCCGTCTCCGTCGCCTCCGCTTTCCCAGCTCTTGCCGACCCCTCAGCTGGATTCGTCGAACGCAGGAAACGCTCCCGGGGTGGACGGGCCCACATATCCTCGCCCGTGGGCGGGACCGACCGGTTCGGCGTTTCCCAGCACAACCCTCACGCTGAGGGATCCGACGGATAAGAAGGGGGGCTTGGGCCGCATCCGTAGGGTGTGTGGGAATCCAGGGGGGGGGGGTGGAGAAAATGTGTTGCTGAATGTCTGTCGGGGTAGTGTCGGGTAAATGGTCTAGGGCTTGCAGATGGTGTATGGAGATGGCCGGGCTCTTGAGAAGGGGTTACTGGGCTTCCGGTTGTGTAGGCTAGGGGAGGGCAGATCTTGAGATATCGTTCCACTTTGTTTGGAATTGTTTTTGATTTTGCTTAAGACAAAGATCCCCGAGAGGGTTGGAGTGGGAGGAGGGTTGGGGCAGAGCTGGGGGACGGCCAGCTCGCTGTGTGAGGCGACGGGGAGGACGTTCGTCCTCTCACTCGCAGGTACACTACAAGCCGAGAAGGTGAAGGTGAGAACTTGAAGTCAAAAACTCAGTGACAAGCGGCAACGAAGCCCACGAATGAGAGCTGGTGGTGAAGGATCGGCTGTACATCGATGTCTTGTGGGAGACGGGAAGTCCAGGTGCTAAGAATAGGCGGTGATCAGAAGATTTGCGGCCGACAGACCAGCTGCGATGCGGCCTATGGAAAAGAGCTAAGTGGCGGAAGGGAAGATGGTAGTTCAGGGTGGTAAATTCGCCAGCATGTGGTCAAAGGAAGGAAAAAAAACCTCGCCCAAATCGATAAAACGATGGTGGCCGAACCGGGGGCGGGGAAGAGTGTGAGCAAAAGAGGCCGAGGGCGTCTGCAAACGTGAGGGGGTGAGACGTTTGCGGGATGGGACTCGACATCCAACCCACCAATTCCACCCGCTCGTTCACAGGCTGCTGATCTGCACCCGCTCAAAGAACCGATACCCGCTCAAAGAACCGATGAACGCCGTCCCGGACTCCCGCACCATCCTGAGACGTCCACCATGATTTCGAAATGATTATCCCATTCCCATCCTGATCCCCCTTTCCCGGCCCACTCCTCCCATACATCCGCCCCACACCAAAGCGAAAGCTTGCTGCATGCGATGGCTTTTTAGGGTGGGTAGGAGTTGGGAGTGGATGGAAGCGGCATCAGTTCAGGCAGGTGAATTCAACCTCGTTGATCAGATCATTACCGCTTGTTACCTGTACGCTGCGAGACTTCATCGCAATTCCGATCAGCCCCGCTGCCGGCTAGCTGTGCTGGTGAGATTACGACCAGAGATTCCTAGAGCCGCAGTGAAATGTGAGTTCGACGAGAGAGAGGAGCGCATTCGCATTATTTGCAGCCGCTCAGCTCCGCCATGGAGAGGGCCGCGGTGGAGAGCAGGGTCGATGAGAAAAAAGCAGCCCCCTCCTTTTTTTCCCCGCATCCAACAAGCGCAATCTGTAGAGCGTTCTCCAAGACCTCGAAGTCGGACAAACATCGCTCTCCTCATCGGACGTGTCGGGTTGAGGTTCTGGGTGTTGGAATTTGAAGCGGTTCCACAAGTTAAGGATCGACGGGATCGTCGGGAAAGGGTCAACCGTGGATGATCACTACTGGATGGACCCGTTGGGACGAATTATGCGCGGAGGCGACAGGAGGGGAAGCCAAATGACCGGCAACCTGGCAAAGCGGAAGCGATGTCCTTTGCATCGTATCTCCCCCCGCCAGGTGTGTTGAGCTGGGCAGACTTGAATGGTGGAGGACAGCTCTGTTGTTCCTGCTACCTGATCAAGTCTCTTGTGTGTCCTTGCATCGTATTCCCCCCGCCAGATCTGAGGAGAACGAAGGGACGGACAGAAAGGTGCGAGCGAATCAAGATTTTCAGGAGAGTCTGAAGTGATGATGGAGCCGGAGGCGGGAGATGAAGCAATGCAGAGTGATCCTAGGAATGCAATTGTCATAGTAAAGTGCCCCATTCTTCGGCCGTCTCTTCAGGGTTGCCTCAACCGTTCTCGCTCTCGTTTGTCGACCGGAGGAAAGAATGTGCATGCAAGACTTTTTTTGTGCCGATCGTAGGCAGTGAGAGAGATTTGAGAGGCAAAGACCCTTGTGCGGTGCACTGTGGCCTGTTTTGCACTTTCTTCAAAGGAAAGCAAGGGCAAGACGAGTAAAATTTGCCTTGGAAAAGGGCCAAGTAGGGCTGTTTAAATCGGTCGATTAGGCATCTCAGTTAGTATAGTGGTAAGTATCTCCGCCTGTCATCACGCATTTTGCGGAAGACTCGATTCCCGGACCGAGAGCGTTAGTTTTGTCAATCGCCCGCCCCTCCGGTCATCGCGAGCGCTGGATCGGCAATGGTGGGGATGCAGGGCGAGGGACGGACTTCAATTCTTCTTACAGCACCTGCGAAACGAAGTGTTGGAGGTGCCAATGGCGTCGGCGGAAGGCGGACGCGTGTCGATTTGGGTCCCGGGACAGCGGGACCTGGGACCCAGTTTCCAAGTATCATACACGTCTCGATTGGGGACGGGTCCACGTCTGAGTCCCCACAGGCGCCTAGTATCGTAACCGTATCATAACCGTCTGACCCACCCCGCGAGTTTTCGACCTCTCCTCCATCCGACCATCACCTCTTCGACCGTTTTGGAGTGAGTAAGGTGCATTGCGTTAGCGGGTGGAATTTTAGTCTTTCTTCCTTCCTTTCTTTCCTTCTCTTGGG